GGCCCCGCTCTTGCCCCGGCACTTTCCCTGGCCCAGAGGAAGCAGCCCTCTTTGGGACACCTCACTGGGGCCGGTGCAGGCAGTGGCTTGGACAAGACTCTTGCCCTCGGAGCTGCAAACGCAGTCCCTGATCCCGTGCTGGTGGTGCAGGCGAGCGCAGGTCGGGCACATTTGGTTAATACCAGGGCCTCTTTCTACCCACCCAGTGCTGCCCTGTACTCCCAGCGAGTTTCCCTGCTCCCACTTCACCCGGTGCAGCAGCCCCGGCCCTGCCTCCCCCCCCCATTCGCCTGTGCTTAATAATATTTTCATGACTGTTTCAGACCCGCACTCCGGGAGTCTCGGGGGATGTTTGTGCATGACATCACCCTCCCCCTCCCGTAAATCAGGCACTGGGCCGTGCATAGCCATGACCCATTCATGACAGGGATAAAATCCAGATGTTCCAGTGCTACGTGCAGCTGGGTCATTTCCTTTTTTGGCTAAAAACGTGAGGCTCTTGAGGCTGACTGAAAGAGGAGCCCGGGGGCCCTTTGTACAGAAACCTTTTGTGGTTAATCCCTGGAAACAGTGCTGCAGAAACAAGGGTTTGTGGTGCTTCTGCGGGAGGACGGGCTCAGCTGGAAACCTCCCGGGCTGGAGCTGCTCGCTCACCCTTTGAGGCCGAGCAGCAGCAAAACCAGAGCCCGGCACGGGTCACAGGGCAGCAACAGCAACGAAAATCTTACTCGAAAAACCCCGTTAGCCGCCAGAGCAGGGGCCTTCAAAGGAGCCAGGGATGTGCATGCACAGAGCCAGTGCCCTGGTGCCCCACGGCCCTGTGGGCTGTGCCTGTCGTGCCGCCAGAGCAGCACCCACAGGAGCCGAGGCACCGTGCCGGGGGAACAGAGCGGGGTGCTGGGGGCCAGGGCAGGCGAGCCCAGAGGAAGTCGTGGCAGCTGTTAGTAAATGTAAAGGAATCCGTGGAAAATAGTTTCAGATGTTAGGGGAATAAATAGCTCCCTGGCTGATAAAAGTGAGTAATGAGCATGCAACGCTCTGGGGAAGGCTGCCAGGAGGAGACCACTGCTACCCCCACTGGAGACTGCAGCAGCTTGCCCACCAAACCTCGTCCCGAGAGCCTGTGCCTGTGGAATGGGCAGTACCTATTGCCAGGGGAAGGAAGCTTCTCTGCCCAGCGGGATATGATTCGGTATCGCAGCGATCCAGACTAGCGCCTGCGGCAGTGCAGCATCCTGGCTGCTGCTGAGCCTGACCCAACAGCCAGCTCGGAGGCATCGCACCCATGCAGCACCGGCCGAGTCCCGCTCAGACCTGTCCTGCAGAACAGCAGGCCTGGACAGACAGGCAGCCCTGGCACCAGGAACCCACTGCAGCCCCACAGCAGGAAAAGGGGGCTGCGGTCCCTCTGCTATAACCCACAGGACTGGTACAACTGATGCTGAGCGTGTGGTTTGGGGAGGCATGAGCACTGTGGGGACCAGTGTCCCCAGTACGGGGTTAGGGGCGAGGACAAGGCTGAGTGCAGAGCTGCAGCACTGATTCAGACAGCACTCTGTCCCGTGCCTGCTGTTTGAGAAACACATGAGAGCAAGTGCCACTAAAACGGTTTATTGTATAAAGCCATAGGAAATACACAGGAGGATGAGGTTTAGGACACTTCCTTCTAGAGACCGCTCCAAGCTTCTCAGAATAGCAAACACACAAACTCTGATTTGCCTGCATCAAAGCTTTCAAACAAGGGTTCAACAAGGATCTGCATACAGAGTTAATCACACTTCAACATGCTTAACGTTTTCTGTTCCTAAGTGAAGCTGGGGTGAGGAGGGGGGGGCTAGCCCCTTGATCCTGCAGTTGGTTACAAAATGACAGATATTCATGACAAAAGAGTACAAAAGGAAAAAAAACAAAACAAGATGCTTTCAGAAAGGCACGTGGGTGTCTAAGCAGGAAAGCAGGGTCAGCATAAGTGCCCCAGCAAGATAGAAGCAAAAGGGATGTAGAGACAAAGCAGGCATGAGCATCTCACTGCAGAGGGGCCTTTGAGGTCCCAGAGCCAGCTCAGCCACCGGGCAAGGACAGCTCAAGCCCTCGTGTGAGTCTGGGGTGGCTCAAGATGTCCTGTTTTGCACAGCTAGGGCCAATGCAGGGACTTGAGAGATGCAAAGCTCCTCCTCAGGGCAGCCCCGGTGCCACCTTTGCTTTGCCTCTCATTTGGGACACAGCGAGGGAGGAGTGAGGCTGGAGGAGCCACCGCCGCCTGCCCAGTGGGGTGGGGTGGGGACACTCAGCCCTGGCAGGAGCAGGTTGTGGACAGCCTGACTGCCCCCTCAGCTGACTGTGCTGGAGCCCTGCGCTCCTGCAGACCCTCCCCTGCAGCGCTGCCAGCAGCACCAAGCACAGCCACAGCCTGTGGGCAATGCTCCCCTCCCTGAATTAATGGAAGGTCTTTGGTGTTACCTGCGCTGCTGGCGGCTGGGCTCAGTGGGGCACTCCCCATCCTATGGCTCCCTATGGGAGGGATGGAGCAGGAATAAAGACCTTGGTGCTCTCAGCCTTCAGCATGCCCTTCTCCGGGGCTCAGCCAGATGCATCTCAGGGGGGGACCACCAGCGGGGCAGTACCCCCCAGCTCCAGCTCAGACCCACAGAGGCAGCCGTGGGAGATCACGGCACCGATGGATCGGAACGGGGCAGAACGCCCCACACCCGCGAGCAATTTGAGCTCCTCATCCACGTCTGAGTGCTGCGTGAGAGTACCTCCAGGGAGATGTGCAAGGCAAAGGTCTGGCCCGCAAACAGTGAGGTGGCTACAGAAATACGGAGGTGGATCCCACCTGGCAGCACACATGCTCTTCTCCTGGCCACACTCCAGCCTGGTGTCCCCAAACGGGGCAGAGCACATCCTTCATGCCCGGGTCACCACAGGCCAGCCGCACATACAGGAAGGCTGTGCTGTAAAGCCATCCACTACACAGCAAGCCGTGTGGACCAGGAGCTGCTGCCTTCTATCACACAGAGCAAGGGAAGCACATGGGGAAAAGAGAGAAGTCAGCGCTGTGCCAGGGGGAGCAAACACATGCCGCCAGCGTGCAGATCCAGCCGCTCAATGCTGAAGCTGCTGCTGCTGCCCTTTGCTCAGCTGGGGCCCTGGGCTCAGCTCGTGCCTGGTCAGACAGGAAGCAAAAGGAAAGAGTAAATACTGGGGGGTCTTGAAGCTCCTTTTTCAACTTTATTTAGCTTTGACTCTGCACAGAGCCATAGCATAGCGCACTCTAGCCTTCAGGGAGGGGCACAGGAGCTCCCTGAACACACTGCAGTTCAGGGTCAGCCCCCATCTCCTGTGCCTTGTGCCCTGCCCCTGAAATGTTGTTGGGGTATCTGGCACAAAGACCCTGAAGAATAGAGAAAGCCCCTGCCCCATGGCATCCTCTGAGGCTCATAGGTCGCTGCTGCAGTCGCGGCACAGGATCTCGTCGTTGTCAGGGATGAAGCCTTTCCCGACCAGCGAGGTGTTGCAGCGGGCGCAGTTAAAGCAATTGTGGTGCCAGTGACGGTCCTCAAAGGAGACATATTTACCACCGCCAAAGCCTACGGGAGGAAGAGAGGGCAGAGTTAGAACCCCTGGGAAAACTGGGACGAGCTTCCCACACAGACCGAGTCTCGGCCTGCTCATCTCCGAGTCAGGTCTTCACATGCAGTGCTGCACCGCGGCACCCAAACACCCCCCAGTATCGAATACACCCAAAATACGAACCTCCACTCCTGGGGCGAGAAAGAGAACCAAAATGATTTCACACCAGATTTTACATGGTTGAGATCCTTGTATCAGAATCACCTTTTTCTCACCAGAGAGGAGCAGGGAGCGGAGCTGCACCATCAGAGCAAACGAGGGGGCTGTTGGGAGCTCCTGGCAGCACTGCCTGGAGCAGCTCCTTCCCAGGACAGTGCTAGTGAAACCCTGGGAAGAGCCCTCCTGCCACCAGCCCAGGCCTGGGCTCCTGCAGAGGCTCCATGGCCAGCTTCCTTCCTCTGCTGGCAGTGGTTGGACTTGCGGCCTGTGACCCCCTTCTCCCCCGGACTGCAACAAACTGATAAGGACCAGACACCAGACGGAAGCAGGGTGCCCAGGAGCTGCCCTGTCCTCAGCCAGAGTCATCCTCTGAGTCATCAGCTGATTCATGGCTTTGCCTTCCCAGCAGCAAGAGACACGAGTTGCAAAGGGAAAGGTCAAGTGGGGGAGGACAGGAAGGAGGTCAGATCCTCTCAGGGATTCCTGCAGAAGAGGACCTGCTGCTTCCCTTGTGTTAGGCAGGTACGACAGGTCCAGACTCCCCTGCAGCAGTTGCTGCTCTAGCTATAGCTTTCCCTGTCTGTGAGCAATCTTTCCACAGGACGTGGCAACCAGCCTCAAACAAGGCAAGCTAGAGACATGAGATCACACTGTGAGGGGTCATTTTGGGAGCCTTTACCCCTGGGCAGAGGGAATTCCTCCCAAGGGGCACACTTCACTGCTTTGAAAGATGCAGATGAAGGGACACAAGTGGCCCTAGGATCACTGCACCAAAGAGATCCTCTCTCATGGGGTTCCTCGGAAAGCAGCTGCAGTTGTTTCTGTGGGGGGAGGTGCCTGAGGGCAGCTTGCACACCCCAGCATTTGTCCCTGGGAGGCCTGAAGTGCCTGGAGACACCTGAGCAAGCCTGCATGGTGGAGATGTGTCTGAGCATCATATGTGGGCCTGGGTCACACATACACTTGAGAGGGCAGCTTCACCCAGAGAAGTCACTGTGCGTCTAGAAACTAGGCAGGTAGGTCATGCCCTGCTCTGCAGAAGCACCTCGTAACCAGGGCCATTCTGCTCACCTGTGATGGGCTTTGTGCAGGCGCTGCACTTCTTGGCATAGAGGTTCCCAAAGCACTTGATGCAGTACGGGTTGTCATCCTGGGAGGTGAACTGCTGGCCAGCGAGGGGGGTCTTGCAGCCTGTGCAGACGAAACACTCCTTGTGCCATGGCTCATCCCGGTAAGTCACTCCTCCCTTGGTCAGGGTCTGCAGGAAGAGAGCGCACACTGGTGACACACAGGCATGGGTGAATGGGCTGCAGTGCATGAGGAGCACCTAGCCGGGGTGCTGGCGCCTGAATCTTCTCTGGTGGGGCTCAGACAGCACTGGGGAACATGTCCCTGGATCAGAGAACTCGGGGGCTTTGGGCTCTCAGGCCAGACATACCTTTTTGCAACGAGTGCAGCGAGGAGCGAACTTGCTCTCATAACAGGGGACACAGTAATAATCCTTATTGTCTGGGATGAAGGATCGTGACCCGATGGGCTGCTGGCAGCTGCTGCATATGAAGCAATGCTCGTGCCAGGTTTGTCCGTTGTACTCCAGCTTACGGGATCCTGCAAGAGAGAGCCGTTCACAGCGACAGGAGGGAGCAGCACACGCACACACAGGGGACGGGGGAGGCTGCGCAGGATATGCTGGGGTCCTGCACACCCGGCTCCGTGCCTGCCCTCCCTATGGCAGCACAGCATTGCAGGAGAGGGAAGGCCCCAGGCCCAGCCCAGACCCGCCTCAGGAGGGCTGCAGGAACACGCAGCCAGCACCAGCACACAGGCCACGGCAGAGGTGCCTGTTGTAACCTACATCTGAAGAGGGTGCCAGAATGGCCAAGTAAAGACACTCCTTTCCCTCAGGCCGTCTCCAGAGACGCTCACACGTCTTCAGTCATTCCTTCCCTTCTTGTCAGCACACACCAGAAAACGCCCAGGAAACCCTTTGTTAATCTCCTCCCCAGCTCACCTGCCCATGAAAAAGGGGAACAGACAGACAAGGCTGCTGTGGTGATCACAGCTCAGGATCCCACTGTCTTGCCAGACAAGCAAAGCGCCCAGCCCACTCTATGCAGTCACAGTGGGGCAGGAGAGCAGAAATTCAGCTCTCTTCCTTGCTGCCCTAGTGCTGGACCCTGCAGCCCTGGCTGACACTGCTGGGACCAGGGACAAGCCGCAGTGCTCGAGGGTGCCCGCTCCCACCTGGCATGACTGTCTTCTCGCAGGCAATGCATTTGGAGGAGAACTCGCTGCAGTAGCAGTCATTGCACAGCAGCTCCTCGCCTTGGCAGGTGAACGGCTCGTCGGCCAGAGAACGGTCACAGCGGAAGCAACGAAAGCAGTGCTCGTGGTAATGGCGGTCCTCGTAGTACAGCTCCTGGGGAGGATAGCCAAGATGAGGGGGGGACTGATCGCCCCGGAGAACGCCCTGCCTGGCCGCAGGGTCCCATACTCACTCTGCAGTCGTGGCCGATTAGCTCCTTGCACTCATCACAGGTGTTGGCAAAGTGGGCGTCGTAGCAGGGGATGCAGTACGGGCCGTTGTCCATCTGGATGTACTTGCGCCCATACAAGGACTCCTTGCAGTTGTCGCAGTCAAAGCACTCTGTCATGGTGCCAGTCTGAGGGCCTCCTTCACCTGCTGGGAGATCAGCGGAGATGCTGGGTCAGTATCAGCTTACACAGCCTGAGATGTCCCTGCACAGCCCTGCCATCTCCAGAGAGCAAGGACCACGAACCCCTGTGCTGAGCCAACAAACAGCCGCTGTCAGGACAGGACACAGACCTGAGCTGCTGCACCTGCCCTGCGGCTGTGCACACTTCCCAAAAAGCCTGCACGCATTCAGGACCTGGGATGAATCTTGGTTCAGGTTTATACTCAAGTTCAACAGTTGGAGAATGTAGGCACCACTCAGAGAAACCTAGACACGTAAGCATGCGGTTGAGCTTCTGTCTGCCTCCTTGCCGGGAAGCAAAGTGTAATTGATAACCAAAAGAGATATTTTTTTTTTTTTTGCATGAAAAGTTTTGATTTGGCACCAAAACCAGGACCATGCACAAGCTGTGTGGGTGCACATCCACGGTCACATCACAGCCAGCCACCTCAAGAGACATCTGTCTACCTAGCAGCCCTTCAGAGACCCACGCTCAGCCACCAGCATGGCCCTGGACCAACAGCAAGAATCCTCCTGACGGCCTGCGAGCTGCTGCTCTGCCTGATGGGGCTGTCAGCGCTTCAAATTCTGGAACTTCTCCAGAACTTTAAAGCAGCTGCTCCGCAGGGAAGCAGAAATCAGGCACCCCATGCTGTGCCCAGCTACAAAGCCGCATCCCAGAAATGCGTTTTGCACATGTTGCTCCAACTACAAACACTCTTCAGGGATAAAGTGTTGGGGAGGGTGGGTGTTTCACAAGCAACAGAGGTGCTGGGGTTTTGCATGCAGGAGATCAGACACCCCTTATTGCTCCTTGTCTCCCTCTCAGACAAGAGGTTTGTGGAACTATTTCTCTTTCTTTGGAGCACTAACTCCAGAACAAGAGTATCTTCCTTCCGTTTGGTTTAACCTCATTATTCCTAAATATGGAGCTCTCCACTTGCAGAATCACACCCTTCTTTAATACAGGTTGCTATCAAGTGTAGACAAGCCCATGGAATTACACCTCAGCAGTCAGCTGCAGAGCGCCGCATGCTGCAGATTTCTTCATGAACCCACCCACTTCAAAAAGAGCTATTACGGCTCGGTCTACAGTTTAGTATTTAATGGGGCAAGGAGCTCACCGCCAACCCCCACGCTTCCCTCCTCCCGGACTCCCCAGCCGCAGTGGCCTTCTCCCTTGCGCAGGGAGGCAGCTCCGGGGCAGGAGCTGGTCCAGACAGCTCTGACTCAGGGCAGCGAGCTCCCCAGGGCTATTCTTGGTCAAGCCACACAGCTGTTGTCAAGCCTGGTATGTGCCGATAGGACTGCCGGTGAATAAATCTAGTGTTCCCACATGGCTACGTGACCAACAGAGGGGGAACAAAGTCCCTTTTCAGACACTCTCGTTACCCAGCTGCCGCCCCAGCCGCTGCCTGCTCTGCTGACCGCTCGGTGCCCTCCGGCGCGGCAGGCTGGTGCCCGTGGCTGCGGGAGCACCTCCACGGCGTGCCCCGGCGAGTGGTGCAGGCTTGGGCCACAGCTGCGCTGAGCCCGTGCTCCAGAGCCCCAACCAGCAGCCCCGGACTCGCTGCCCGTGGAACCAGGCGGCCTGGGCCGGGCTGGGCAATTTCCAGTCTGTTACTGGAGACAGGGCACGTGCTTGGGGCAGTTTGCACAGGGAAGCCGGATGGGTGCCAGGGTGCCGAACTGGACCCACTGCCCCAGCTCTGCCCCCAGGCTGGGCTGGGCCCCCAGTGCCCGCTCCTTCTGGGGCACCCCATGAGGTACTCACTCTGCTAGGCAGCAGCTCCAGCGCCCCCTGCACAGCTCCTGTCCGCTTCTCACCCCCCACCTCCTCCTCTGTTGCCCCACTTGCCTTCACTCCCTGAAGCCATTCGGGACCTTTCTCTCTGGCATGGAATGAAAATCAAATTAATAACCCTCCTCCTCCCAGCCCTGTTGAAGGGAACTTTCCAAGGTGTGTCTGTAATAAAAGGGCCTCTAATGAGCACTCCCACCCTGGGAGCCGCAGTGGTGCCGCCGCTGGAGCACGGAGCTGCCATGTTTCCTCAATGAGCTGCGCTTCATCTCTGTGGTCCTGTAACGCAGGGTCAGAGGACATCAGAAAATGCAAGGAAGGAAAAACAACTTAAATGGAGAAGCCTTGGGTTTTATTGGCGGCACCAGCTCAGCCTCCCGAGCACTGCTGTGCCTGACCCTGACACCATCCCTCCGTGAACCCTGGGTCCCCAAGCTCAAAACAAGGGACAGCACTTCCCAGCACTCCTGAGCCCACCAGGACCCCCAACTAGTCTTGTGCTGGCCAAAGCCCGTGGCCAGCACTCACTGGCAATACCGCAGGCAGCACTGCTTCCACTGCGGCGTGCGCAACACAGAGTGACTGGAGGAAAGGGAGCGAAAACCATATAAACCCTCTGAAAATGATACACCGAGGAAGACCCTAAAGCAGTGCGCCACACTTGTCTCCACTTTGAGTAGCTTATCCCCAAAGTCCACCTATGTCTGTCGCACACTGTGTGAGCCAAGCTCCTGCTCTCCAGGCTGGGGAGCCCGAGCGGGCTGGCAGATGCATGGGCTGCCCGCAGAGCAAGTCCCAGGAGTGTCACACGGCCCAGACAGCTATGAGAGCCGACGGGATCAGACTCCGCGCTGCCTTTTCCACAGAAAAAAAGAACAGGCCCAGGAAGTTTGCTCAGGGTTATTTGTATTAGATAAGCTGTTTGCTCTCTTCGTTCTGGTCTCACATGCAGTGCTGGGCAGGGGTGTCAAAGCCCTATGCAACACTAAAGCAAACTCTGCATCTTCGCCCCTGAGGACATGGCACTGCTGGAGACCAAGTTCGTGGAGAAGAGGAAGGTGGGACAAAAGAATCAGAGTAAAAGAAATAGTACAAAAGTCCACAGTTCTCACCGTGATTGTAATGACGAACCTGGAAATTGTCTCCATTCACGAAGAAAAGAGGTGGAGTTTTAAAATGCATTAAAAAATAGCCTTTAATAGAGGCTCAGATTTAGAAGGCACAATATAGGCAGTCACTATGCGTGCTAATTAGCATGTACTCATACTTTGCAGTCTGCACCACCCTGTAAACATCAGCTGTGTGCTAGGCTGATGTAAGTAACACCTTCAAATACTAACCAAGGTGTTGCCCTAAAATGATGGGATTCCAGCTGCAAAGGGAGTGTTTGCTTGCCCATTACCAGATGGCTGCGGTCCCTGTGGGACAAGGTCTACTGAAGCAGGTCCCTCGTACGTGGGGATGGTGGAGCTGGATGTGGGGTATTCTCTCAGCTGTCTCGCTGGCTGTCTGAGGGCAAAAATAAACAACAGATATATGCCTGCCAGCTGCCTACCCTTTCCCTTTGACAGATATAGCTGTGCTCATGGAGGAAAGGAAGTTCAGTTCCTCTCCTGTGCCCATGAACGAACAGCTTTGGGAACAAGAGCTCCTCTCACAAACAACATTTAAAGTGCTCCAGGATGCAAATCTGATCAGTCTGGAACAGAGCTCAGAATAGTTTCACGTATGAGAAAGGTCAGCAATTTGTCAAGGACGCACAGCAGAGCCCACTTTCTAATTAGAGAGTAACATGCACCTAACACCACCCTGGTGTCATTGTCCGCAGCAATGCAGCAGATGGCTTAGCGACAGCCCCAGGGGGTTATTACATTAATTTTAGTGTCGATAAACTGGGGACCTATTATGCAAAGGAGGCAGTACAGACTGTCCAGGGCCAGGCTTTCTGCTGCATGCAATCCCTTAAGAGTTTAACCAGCCTTTTGAGACAATTGCAGCTACGAGGAACTCCTTCAGCAACAGGTCTCATGTATACCGTGAACCTATAACCCAGTGTAACTTCACACCAGTTTGTTGTTTGTTGTCAGGTCACAACCAGCTGCTCCACAAAGTGATCCCAGAGCAACCCATAAGGCTATTCCTAGGGAAACAATCTTTCCAGGACACAGGAATAGACCTGCCTTTGAGTGTCTGTCAGGTTCCTGCCTATTCTCATTTCCCTGGGCTGCTCTGAGCATGGCTCGTGCAGTTGCAGTTCACACCTAAACAAACATGCAGAAGAGAAAGCGCAACCTCGCTGGGACAGGCAAGCGTTCCCCATGTAAGGATGAAACCGTCCAGGGACAAGGCTTTGGAAGACGGTCCTCAGTGCGCTCCAAGGTCAGAAGAGGAGAAGAACGCTTTTTGTTCCTGTTGGTTTTCCAGAACCATTATGGGTCCTGGAATCTGTATGAAATTGTTTCTGCCTGCTGCCGACCCTAAAAGGGAAACCAGCTGCTTGCTCTGAGGAGCAGCTCCAGCCCCTCTGTTAGGCTGGGAACGTTTTCAGTCCACGTTTCCTGACACTGCTTCTGCAGATCTGCTCGGGGTCACTGCGCACCCCAGCCAGGGGCCAGCGCAGCCAGCCCAGGCTCTCCGGGGGCGGCGGGGGCCAGCTCTACGGTTCCTCCTCACCCTGCTGCCTCTGTTTGTACCCTCTTGCCCTGCTCCCAAACTCACGAGCGTGCCTGCAGACCTGGCACAGTGGGAACAACATCCCCCATCTGCTGTTACAGCAGATCCTGCTTTCGGGCGAGAGGCTGGAGGCAGCTTGCCAGAAAGGTGCCGAGTGTTTCATCAGGGTAACCCAGCCGGACCCAGCCTGCACAGAGCACCCTCGGGAGCAGTGTTGCATCAAGCCTTCACCCGCCTGCTCGTAGCACCACTGAGTCACTTCCTCCCTCGCTCAGATCTCGCCTCCAAGCTGCTTTCCAGCCTGAGCCGCCCACCAACAGCTCCGAAATCTCAAGAACAAAGGGCTGCTCCGGGGTGCTCTGCTGAGCAGCAAAGTCCTCACAGGGACCATCTGCACAGCCACAGACCTCACCTGGCAGCTCCCCCATCACCAGCACAATAGGAGGATGCTGCAGGTCATTTCTCCAACAGGTAGAGAAAATTTGGTTCCTACAGTCAGCCTTGGAGGAGG